CAAAGGTCAGGCTGTCTTCCAGAATAGGGAACGTCTCCCACTATGTTTGTACTATCGCAATAGCCCCTGCAAAGCCCTAGGGGTTTTCAAGCCCTGTCTTTCTAAATGTTTAAGCTTATTTCATTTCCCTTGTCTATTCTTACAGCTTAAAAAACATCTAAATTCATTTTGAAACGCTTTGAGACATAGAGCATATAAAATCCAAGGTCATATTACTCAATTTCCACTCTATGTCTTTCGCATAGGGACACAGTAGTTAAAAACCGTAGCTTAGAAAATTCTTAAGACTTTACAAGAAGGCTAAATTTTATTAGAGAAGTCATGAATCTCTCAAAGACTGCCTTCTTGGAATAAAATAATTTTTACTTTTTCTCAGAAGATACTTTATTGTTTTATCTTCCAGCACCTAAATATTTAAAGAACAATGTTGCTATGTGATGCGACTCCACTGCAAGAAGCCTGAACTGAATTCCTTTTTCTGGAACTGGCCTTACTATCCTCTGGCAAAACAAAATCTAAAATTGTTTTGCCACTGTACCTTGAAAATAAGTTTCAAATGTCTTTGAAAATTTAAACTGCAAGCTGAGATACAGCTTGAGGTGTTTTTCTTAAATTGTTCCTAAACTGCCTCTTCTCAGTGCGGCATCCAATTACTGAGCTGTCTCCTGAAGTTAAGCAAAGTGATGATTGTACCTAAACAATAAATGCATTTGGGTTGAAAGTTTTGACTCCTTGTTTCTTTTGAAATAATAGTAAGTGAAGGAGATTCGTATAGGGTTTCCTGCTAGGATATAACTTTACAGGGGTTAAATACATACAAGTTAGATAAATTTGAGTCCTTAAATGTTTTTCAAGCATCTTAAATGAGTAAGATATATGAGTGTACACTGACAAAAAATAAAACTATGACATTGTCTCAGGTGTCAAGGAGTTTATAATTTAAAAAACTATAAGTACACGTTAATTTAGTGATGGAAAAGTGAAAAAATATGTGCAGACTGGTGTGTACTTGAGAGTTTTAAGAATATTTAAGCATATTTCAAGTAATTGCCTCTGAAGGGTCTATGCATAGTATACATTAATACTATCATAAAAATGCCAAAGCTAAATATATTGATAATCTTTTTTTCAATGAGCAAACATTAATGAAATGAAAAAGTGTCTTATAAAAGACAACCACATAAATTCTTTATCTGAATGATGTTATCAAGAACATTGTTCATAACCCAGTTTTACTCTTATTCCCTATTTAATTTTCCAAGTAAGCCATTCTGCTGAGAGTTTAGTCCTTAGAAAACTTGATGTTCTTTTGAAAAACTGGTACATTTTCTTCCTTCTCACAATGACAGCCATGAAACTCAGGCAACCTTCCCTGAGTGCTGACAGGCTCAGAATCAGGCCTCCAGCTCAATCAGCATGGCTGTGTTGATTTTGGGTTGTAATCTCAGTATTCTCCCATGTCTCTTGTCATTGTTCTTGACTAATATTATTGTCTTAGTTTCTCCTCTTCTCACTGCAAGTGTCTCTAGATAGACGATTTTTCAAAGAGGCAAAGGATGACACATTTAACATGTACCAATCGCGCTCCCTCCTGTGTCTCCAGTCTCATTGTCTTCCCTGAGATCTGCGGTGGTATTCCGAAGTCTTGCTTGTATTCTGTCCTGTTCTTTAAACAGATGGCTCCATCTAGCACTTCCTTGCATCCAACTTCCAACTTGTTTCAAACGTGATTCCTGAACCAGCAGCAGCAGCATCACCTGGGAACTTTTCCGAATTGCAAATTCTGAAGCCCCACTCCAAGTACTGAATCAGAAACTGTGGGGTTGAAGCCCAGCAATCTGTGTATTTAACAAGGGCTCCAGGTGATCCTGACACATGTCCAAGTTTAAAAGGCATTACTCTAGACGAAGACTGGGCTCTTTCCTTTCTTTCCTGGTCTATGTGTTCTCTAGGTTACAGCATCTCTGGTCTACTCTACATATTTGCTCTGCCATCCTGGCAAATTCTGTATACATTTTTAGAGTAAGTATAAATTCTTAAAAGAGCATATTCTATTGAGGTAGCAAATTATTATCCTTGCCACAGTTAGTAAAACATTCATGGGTACCCTTACTGGTGGGTGACCATGAGTGACCTCATGGTCACTCACCGATTCATGCTGGGGCCACTCTTGGACTACCTGACAACACTTGCTCAAATCAATAACCACTCCTAATTAAAAGACAGACTGTTATTCCTTTCCTAAGCAAGGCTATAGGAGATAAACCAGAAGGAGACTGATTCTGTTCAATAACTGTATCTTTACTTAAATAGATGTGTATAATATGACTTCAGCAGAGGACTAATTGAAAATGTCTTAGTTTGATTCAGTCTTCTTTTAAGAAAAACAAGAGGCAACAATTATTGTTTGGCATCACTGGAAATAGTCCAGGCAAGGCAGTTTACTCATTCTCCCATCCAAGTACTAACCAGGCCCGACCCTGCTTAGTTTCCAAGATCAGATGAGATTTGATGCACTGGGGGTGGTGTGTCCGTAGACAATTTACTCATTCTGATGTTTGAAGACGGTTCAAGTTAGCGTTGTTCATAAAGATTCTATAATAAATGAATAATGACTCAATTTTCAAATTACACAGATACTATCCAACTTAAGTTTTTAAAGGAAGTGTATTGCTAGATGTTCTCATTTGTGTGTAAACTATGATTCCTGCCTACCACCACCTTTTTAGAGTTAAGAAGCACTTAGTGTAGTGACAGTTTCAAAAACCGGTTTAAGACCTTTAAGTTGCTTTGTGAGGGGCAACAAGTCGGAGGGGCGGGAAGATTTTCAGGGGAATCTTTTACGGAACTGAGGCAGAAAATAGATTGAGGGGTGGGGTGTTTGCAGTTATGCACGGTGGCAAAATAGACATGCAACTATTCTTGCAAAATACACGTGAGTTCCTAAGATTTTTTCAATTATAATTTGAAAGATACTGTTCATCCATGCAGCTAATAACTGGGTCATAAGCAGTCTGGTTCTATAGCTGATTAAAAACAAATAAACTAACAAATATTTATTAGGTAGTAATGCTGCATGCAGTTCCTACAAGGAGCTTTCATCTACTTGAAGAGTATGAAGCAACATCAAAGTACAAGATAACAGATGTTTACGTGCTACATCGTGTTATCCTTGACATGCTTCTCTTTGTACACGCATAGAGATCTCATCCCTCATGACTTTATTTAATAACTATGTAGGTCAGTGTTTCTCAGTCTTGAGCAGTGTTAAGGACAGACTGTGGCAAAAATTTCTTACACGGAATGAAAGCATTTTTATTATATTTTACCTAAACATGTACCAATCTATAAACAGGCACAAAATGCTTAGCTTTGTGACCCTTAACTATAAAAAAACAAATTTATAAGTTAAATACAGAAAGGCTATCCAACAGAATTTAAATTGATTTATTGGCAAGAATAATATTTTATTGAAAAAGCAAATCACCACTAAAACCTTGAGCATGGTTCTACCTTCTAAAATGCATCTTCCTTTGTGTTCAACAGGCTTCTCTCAGTATGAGTCACACAATGACTCAGCTCTCACCACTTTATTCAAACTACTGTGAACCTACCCTTAATACATTTGATTTGTACAAACTCATCATATATGTATTAGCTCTACTTGTGATAGAGTCTCGTTATTTGACAACAATTAATATAGTACCACAGATGGACAACCTGATTGGAATATAAATGAAATGGAAATCTTAGGTGATACTTGATGCAAGGAGGCCATCCAGATGGCCCCAAGTTTTCATGCTACTTTTTAAAGATTGCCATAGATATGAAGACACAAAACCTTCATTAAAAAATCGTTCAAAAATCTTCAGTAAAAACGGAGGGCATCTGTGGTGGGCACAGCTGTGTCTCCCAGATCCCCCTGCAAGGAAGCACGTGGTAACAAAACTATCAGCAGACCACCTCCAGCTCTCAGTTTCTTTAAGGTTTGCTCTGCTGCAAAGAGCTGCCTAGCCCAAGAACTCATCCTTCTCCAGATGTCTATATTCGATGATTGATGGAGGCTGCAGTATCAAAACTTGCCTAGTTTCCCCGAAATAGGGACAATTCTGATGGGTCATGTAGGCACCAGCTTCCCCGTGGGGTTGGCTGAGGTCAGCCTGCATTGCAGTTACCTTTCCCTACCAGTCCTGCTTTCCCCTCCCTCCTGTTAGTTATGACAGACTCTGCCTCAGTATTTGCTTCCAAAGACCCAGTCAACAAGAGCTCCCAGAAATCTCACCGAGGAACGCTGAGTGGACTGAGAATCCTTCTGCTATAGCCCGGATTCTTCTTACACACTTCTAGTCTCAAAGTTAAACTTCCGGTTGTACATTCCTGACCACACCTCAAATTCAACAGGTCCAAATCTGATGTGTAACCTTTCTCGTTGGCTTTTGCCACAGAACAACTGTGTCTTGCCCCCCAACCCCCATTTTATAATGGCACTACCATTGTATTCCCACGGCATCAGAAGACGGGAGGTGATCTGATTCCTCACACACCTTGCTCCTCACGGCCAGTCTATGTTTCAGGCTTCCTTGCATGGAATGTCCTTTGCTCATTTCTCCAGGGATCCACTTCCCTTTAAACAAGGAATGCTGCTAAAATTTATATAGTATTTTCAATAGTTTTGGGTTTTCCTTCCCTTCAATTCCACAGACTCTTAAGGACAAAGAAAAAAATCCACCCCTCCTCCCCCACCAAAGGACACCTACACAGAATTCCAACCCACAATCACCTACTTATTTTGAAGCACAGTATTCTGGTTTGCATATTAAATAAATGGGGGATGGCAGACAATGCAAAATGCTTCACTCCCCTTTCTTCAATTAGCTGTAGTGTAGTGCAGTCATTAGAACAAAACATTTATTTTCTTCCAGTTAAAGGTAAAATACATTCAATTTTTCTTTACTTTATGTTTTATATTGCACTAAAGAGTCATGAAAACCAAGTCTTGATAAATGCCAAAATAATAATTTTATAACATAAATAGAGACTAAAACATCTGTAAATGTTACGTGGTTTAAATTCTATGAAAACATACATTTTTTTTTTTTAAAGCAGTCAACTCACTGAAAGACACTAATATTTAAAATAGAAAGTTGTGTTGTCTGCTGAACGTGAGAATCTGAGGTATTTGTGAGAGAGAAATTGTCAGGAAAGCAGTAGAACATTTCCTGCCCGTGGGTGCAGTCTTGAGGATTTGTAACCGCCATGACGAATCCAAAAACCATCACCACGGCACCAATGGGAAGCACAACACAGGACATAATCTTATCTGAGTGTGTCTTTGGTTCTTCAGACAGTTTCAGATAACAGGCTGATGGAATGATAAAAATGAGGGGAATTGCACAGAGCACACCCTGCATGATGAAAACAAGAAACAAGATAAGGTTACTAGACGGAAACATTCTTTGGACAGTTTTTTAAAGCATTTACAAAATGTATCTTTCATGCACATGTTAAACATTTGATATGTTCAGTTGAATCAAAGAAGGGAAAGAAAATAATTCTAAGAAAGACTTAGAAATAGGTTTTGCCTTTTCCATTGGCATATTTACAAATGAAAATAATGAAACAGCATCACAATATCAGACTTAAGAAAATATTATCAGAAAATAATATAGAAAATAAAGCAGATGATAGGACCGACTTCTGGTACTCTTGAAATTTCCCATATTTTCAGTTCATCACATTTCCTTACATTCTCCTTTTAAAATTACTGTGTATCCACTATGTACTTCAAACAAGAATGGTCTATTTGAGCCGGGCGTGGTGGCTCACGCCTGTAATCCCAACACTTTGGGAAGCCGAGGTGGGTGGATCACGAGGTCAATAGATCGAGACCATCCTGGTCAACATGGTGAAACCCCGTCTCTACTAAAACTACAAAACATTAGCTGGACATGGTGGCGCGTGCCTGTAATCCCAGCTACTCAGGAGGCTGAGGCAGGAGAATTGCCTGAACCCAGAAGGTGGAGGTTGCGGTGAGCCGAGATCGCGCCATTGCACTCCAGCCTGGGTAACAAGAGCGAAACTCCGTCTCAAAAAAAAAAAAAAAAAAAAAAAAAAAAAAGAATAGTCTATTTGTTATTTGTATATAAGAGGGAAATTTGGGGAAATTGTAAAGTGGGTGTAATGTCTTTCTTCTTTACCTGAGCTTGTGTGGAAGCTGTGCCTATCTGTGTGGGAAAGAAAAACTATAACCCCAAGACATTTAACATGAAATAGTATTTCTAAATCCTCTTTCAAATAAAACTAAGCACGTCAATTACCGAGAAAGCTGACAGCATAGCTAAATGACTATAACTCATTCGCCTTTCCCCACATTAGCTAGGAATAAACCCAATTAAGAAGAAATGTCAGATTTAAAATAATGAGTAGTAGAATTGTCTGTTACAAAAATACCAACAGCTATTGACGTCAGAGGAAGAGACTTTCTCCTCAAATAGGCTAATTCACACTAAAAACTTAGCAAATAATATAAATGTTAACATTTAATGCATTTTACATAATATATTTATCTAATTATGTTAAATTTTAATCATAGTATATTTAAAAATGTTACATTAATAAAATACATCAAAATTTTATGACAAATATTCTCTTAAGCCATAAAACAGATATTAAAAAATAAATTTTATTGTGTATATTTGAGGTTTACAACATGCTGTTATAGAATACATACAGATAATAAAATGATTATTGTATTGAAGTAAATTAATGTATCTATCATCTCACATAGTTACTACTTTGGTGATGAGAGCAGCCAAAATCTACTCTTTTAACAAAAGTCCTAAACATAATACAATTTTATAAATTACAGTCCTCATATTGTACATCTGTAGACTTGTTCATCCTGCATACCTGTTACTTTGAATTCTTTGACCTACCTCTCTACATTTCCTCGCTTTGTTTCCTGCCCCTAGTAATCACAGTTTTATTCTTTTACATCTAAGTCTCTATATTAGGCATTTAAAAATTATTCCATATATGAGAGATCATATAATATTTTGCTTTCTGTGTCCTGCTCATTTCACTTAACATAACGTTTTTCAGGTCTATTTATGCTGTGACTAATGGCAGGATATCCCTTTTTCAAGGCTGAATAATATGCCATGTTATAAACAGATCTAGATGACATTTTCTTGATACATTCATACATCAATGAACACTGAGGTTGTCTCCATCTCTTCACTATTGTCAATAATGCTTCAATAAACATGAGAGTGTAGATATCTTTATGAGGTGGTGATTTCGTCTTTTTTGGGTATATACCCAGAATAGATATTCCTGGGTCATATGGAAGTTCTATTTTTAATTTCTTTAGGAACCTCCATTCTGTTTTCCATATTGACTAGTCCAATGTACATTCCCACCAGCAATATACTAGGGTTCCCTTCTGCCCACACTTCTGTCAACACTTGTTAGTTCTGGCCTTTTTCATTATAGCCATCCTAAAGGGTATTAGGTATCAGGATATCAGGCAATATCCTGAAGTGATATTGCCTAGTGGTTTTAATTTACATTTTCCTGATAATTAATGATGTTGAGCCTTTTTTTCATATACCTTTTGGCCATTTTCACATCTTCTTTAGAGAAATATCCGCTGGGGTCCTTTACCTATTTTTTAATCAAGTTACTTGTTTTTATGCAATTGAGTTAGAAGAATTATTTGTGCATTTTTTTTTTTTATCATAACGCCTTATCAGATGGTTTGCAAATATTTTCCCAGTCTTCTGTAGGTTGTCATTGTTGCGGCTTTTGTTTTCGTTTTTGTTTGTTTTCTGTGCAGGGGTCTTTTAGTTTGATGTAGTACTACTTATTTATTTTTGCTTTTATGGTGTGAGGTTTTAGTGTGATATTCAAAAAAATAATTTCCGAGGCTAACATCAAGGAGATTTTACTCTATGTTCTCTTTTAGGAGTTTTATAATTTTGGGCCTCACATTTAGGCATCTTATCCGTTTTGAATTGATTTTTGTGTATGGTGCGATCAGGGTCCAATTTCACTCTTTTGCATTTAGGAATCCAGTTTTGCCAGCATCGTTACTGAAAACTGTCATTTTCCCATTGTATCCCTTTGGTACCCTTGTAGAAAACTAGTTGACTCTAATTTTGTTGACTATATGTTTAGATTTAGTTCTTGGCTCTCCTTTATGTTCCATTGGTCTATATTTGTGTTTTTATGCCAGTACCATACTGTTTCAATTACTGCAGCTTTATAAAATCATTTTAAATGGGGAAGTGTGATGCCTTCAACTTCATTTCTCTTTCTCAGTATTGCCCTGGCTATTTAGGTCTTTTGTGGCTCTGTAGCAATCTGGGGATTCGTTTTACCTAATTCTGTGAAGAATGCCATTAGAATTTTGATAAAAATTAGGTTGAATTTGTATATTGTTTTGGGTTGTATAAACATTTTAAAAATATTAATTATTTAGATCTGTTCACAGGATATCTTTCCATTTATACATCCCATTTATTTGTGTCTTTTTCAATTTCCTTCCTCAAGGTTTTATAGTTTTCAGTATAAAAATCTTTCACCTCTTTGGTTAAATTTATTCCAAGTATTATCTTGAAGACAGGTGGTGAGAGTGGGTATCCTTACCTTTTATTGGATCTTAGTAGAAAAGCCTTCAGTTGTTCCTATTAATTATGATGTTAGCTGTGGATTTTTCATAAACAGCCTTTATTATGTTGAGAAATTTCCTCTCTATATATATAAACTGTTAAAAGAATTGCTGTCAAGAAATAATGCTAAATTTTGTCAAACACTTTTTTTGCACCAGTTGAGATAATCATGTATTTTTTGCACCAGTTGAGATAATCATGTACTTTTTGTTTCTCTCTCTCTCTCTCTCTCTTTTTTTTTTTTTTTTTTGGAGACAGGGTCTCACTCTGTTGCCTAGGCTAGAGTGCACTAGCATGATCACAGTTCAGCCTTAACCTCCTGAGCTCAAGTGATCCTCCCACTTCAGCATCCTGAGTTGCTGAGACTACAGGCATCCTGGTTGTTGAGACTACAGCATCCTGAGTTTGATACTACAATCTGGCTAAGTTTTTGCAGAGATGAGGTCTCACTATGTTGCCCCAGCTGGTCTCTAACTTGTGGGCTCAAGTGATCCTCTCACCTCAGCCTCCCAAAGTGCTGGGATTACAGGTGTGAGCCACCGCACCCGGCCAATCATGTAGTTTTTATTTTTCATTCTGTTAATATAACATTTCACAAATGTTGTTCTCTGAAATAATAAAATATAAATTTTTAATGTACAAAATCAGTAACAAATATGATACTGCTTTACAACTAAATGCAAGCTTTTCATAAAATGTATTTTTCTACATTTAAAAGTTAATTTGTAAGTATAACAAAAGTAGAAAGAATAGTATACTGAAACCCAATGCAACTATCACCTATGGTTTAAAAGCTTTTTGACACATTATTTTGGTAAATTTTCTCCAGGAAAAATAACAGCAAAATAAATTTGAAGTTGGATGATATAAAATTATAAATTGAACCTTAAAAATAACTTTAAAATAACTATATTCTCACACCAGTTAATAAAATTGCTCTGTGTTTTATACAAAGCAGTATTTCCATACCACCAGAAATACTACTACTATTATTCCAATAATATAACTTTTTTTTTTTTTTTTTTTTTTTTTTTTTTTTTTTTTTTGAGATGGAGTTTCGTTCTTGTTACCCAGGCTGGAGTGGTGCAATGGTGAGATCTCAGCTCACTACAACCTCCGCCTCCTGGGTTCAGGCAATTCTCCTGCCTCAGCCTCCTGAGTAGCTGGGATTACAGGAACGTGCCACCATGCCCAGCTATTTTTTTTTTTGTATTTTTAGTAGAGAAGGGGTTTCACCATGTTGACCAGGATGGTCTCGATCTCTTGACCTCGTGATCCACCCGCCTTGGCCTCCCAAAGTGCTGGGATTACAGGCTTGAGCCACTGCGCCCGGCTACAACTTTTTGAATTTTTACAAAAACAAAAGTGTCCAAAGAAAGAACAGTAGAGATCACACTGCATGGAAAATAGTTCCAAAGTCAGAGACTTAAGAATGAGAAAATACTAAAAAAAAAAACCAAAATTATGTTCTAATTTAAAATATATGGAAAATATACTTTTGCCATTCATAGCATCTGAATTCAAATGAATATCTACAAAGGGGCACAAAAAATAAAAGATTAGTTATCAAATAGCTAGAATGAAATGTACTATGAATTGCATAGGTTCTATCCTGTTATTTGGAATTAACATTGCTTTCTAAGTTATGGAAAATACTGTAAAATTTGGTCTGTATTTATAACAAAAAGTATTACCCCTTGATTTCTTTAAAATAACAATTAATGAAAACAGCA